TTGCAACTGGGCTTAATTATTATGTACCTTGTATGCTTTTAGCCTTATGGGCTTAATGAAATGTTGGCCGACAAAAAAAAGTAACCTTTTTAGTATATATATATCAAGTTTATTATTTTTTATGAAAGTTTTATTAATTACTTTTTCTAAGTTATTGAAAATTTTAAAATCTCTTGCTTTCTGTTTTGTTAGTTTACTTTTTTGATATATATATTTTTATTTAATTTGGATATATGATTGGATATGTTTTAAAATATTATTTCTTTAATCTATACTATTATTTGCGAAGTCAAATATCTGATGTGTCATCACCACATCGATTGTCTTACGTGGCAGTTTTGAAAAATATTATGTGTTGTTTTGATTTGTTTTGATAGGTATATCATTAATCCTACGTGTACAAACCTGTAACAGGGATTTTCCTTCGATAATGGACCATGGACCAGCGATTTTAATAACAGTCATAGACACAGAAACCTAAACCCTAGCATATTCTTCCTATTATATATACCCGTTTAGTTCTACATATTTTCTTAACCTCTCGATATTTCTTTAGGTCTTGCTCAAAAATCTGATGTGTCATCACCACAGCGATTGTCCTATGTGTCATTATTAAAAAAATATATGGCGTTTTAATTAGTTCTGATAGGTAAATCATTAATCCTATGTGTAAGAACCTATGACATGGCTTTTTCCTTCGATAGTTGGCCAGTGAGTCTGTTCATGGGCCAGCAATTTTGTTCTCGATCATAGACCAACGATTCTGGTAATGGGGCACCGACGTCGAAACCCTAAACCCTAAAGCATCTATCCTACTATATATACATGTATCGCCTACATATTTTTTACATACAACAACTGTCTTCTAAGGTCTAGCAACTTTTACAAAACTCGTTCACCTCTTTTTCATGAATACACCTTTTGTATATCCTGATCTGGTTTAAATTATATTGTTTGTTTAATTTGTTGTTCTTCAATGCTTACCTTTTAATTGTCTCAAATATCTATGCTTTTTCTCTATTGTGTCTTTATTACTATGCATTACAACTATCTTAATTTTTAACCCCTGTTTTACTCTCTATGCGATTGGTCATCGAGATATCATATTTGTGTTCTTTGTTTTGCTTTTAATTCTATATATAAAATTTGTTGCTTCCGTAGTAGATATTCGTGTTCCTCTTTATTAAGTTTTTCCTATGGATATATTTGAGTTATTGTTCATAAATAATGATTGACCTGAGTTTCTTTATTGTTTTTCTTGAACCTAGAGTTCATCTCGCAAACTATAGGTGATTGGTTTGAATTTTTGCAATCATATCTTCAAATGGATCTAATAGGTAATTGCAAATAACTCATTAGTACTTTTTTTTTGTCAACAAATCATTAAAACTTCTAATTTGATTAATTGATATTTGTAAACTCTCTAATTTATTATTTTGATCTTCTTATAAGAGTCAAAACCAAGAAATGAGTTTTTTTTTGTATAATTCATGTTTTAGTTTAGATTTGTATTAATTTTTCTGGTAATATATTTGTGAATGGATGTTATTTATTGTTTGATTGTTATTTGTTTCTCCTTGGGTTCTAGAATAAATATTTTCTTTATATTGTTGTTTATGTTTATTTTTATTTCTAAATATAATTTTATGGTTTATTTTCGTGGTAGCTTGTGTGGACATGGATCTTTAAGCAAAAAAAAAGTAACCAGTTCGGATTAGTTTTTGTTTCATAGTTTACTAAAAATATGTAACATGAACAAAACAAGGTTTATTGTTTTACAATTTTCCCATCGTTTTCTGCCCAAATGCAATTATGTTTTTTCTGGAAAAAATATTTTATAGTTTTTTTACTCAACACATTTTTTTATCAGAAAAAAACATTAAATTACTCTGAAGACTAAACCTATCAGGCATTACAGCAATATATTTGTTGGTAAGTTGATGAACGGGAATGTGATGTATTCTAACTTCAAAGAGCAAAGGAAAAGCAGGTGACAACGAGACTAGATTCAATGTGCTAGAATCTTTACGCATGTCAAGTTCTTGTCTTGATTTATAACAATTCTATTGAGAACAGAGTGCAAACCAATTACAAATGGCACCATCCAATTGATTTTGAATTATATTATAGTTAATCCCTGATCCACTTCTTAGTTTCATCGTTTGTTAATGAAATTATCGATCTTTTTGTTTTGTTTTACCCTGATGATATATAAAACGAGCTGAAGGAAGGAGAGTCACCAATACAGAGGAAGAAAAATGTTTGCTAGAGAAATATTCAGGTCATAATTTTCATCATCCTTGTAATTTGTTTCAGCTTGTTGGAACTACATTTTTAGTATTTCAGGCTTCATCAGAGTACTGAATAAATTGATGATTCTCTGACACCAGAATCTAATAAACATAAATGACTGAATTCTTGTGAATTGAAGAATAAACATACTCACATGTAGCATTTTTCATATATTTTGATGTGTAACAAGTGTCGTATAACTCTGTTGCTTTAAAAGTTTAGTTTTTGAATTAAATTTATCTTAAAACAGTCCATCATTTGATTGTTTTTCTAAAACCCAAATCTTACAAGATAGAGCTTATATTGGATCTTCGAAGAAGAGTTGAAGAATGAGATGAAATTTCGAATAGGTTTCTATGTTCAAAACAACTCAAATCAGATTGTTATGTGTTTCTGAAGTTTACTGGTTTACTTGAACACGAGCCAACAGAGATTGAACATTCAGACATTGAATTCGACAATACTAAAACGGGTATGAATCCCTCACTGAAATACATGAGGAAAACACGGAAGCTAAAGAAAAAAATGGGTGAAACGAGGAAAGATAGTTGGGTGGCAAAGAAATGTGTTATTGCTATGAAAAAGTGGGAAAAAGAGATGATGAAGGTTTGAAGGTAAAGAAGAGAACAAAATAGAGAAGGAGAAGTTGAGGAGTTAAGGCTAAAGCTATATTATAGAATTTATCATTAATTAAAGAGAAGAAGAAGAAGAAAAAGAAGGAAAAACCTCAGGAGATCTAAGTAATGAATATATATATATATATATATAGAGAGAGAGAGAGAGAGAGAGAGAGAGATAGAGAAGGGATACAAAGAGAGGGGGAGAGAAGGAGATAAAAAGAGGGGGAGAGGAAGGGAGAGAGAGACAGAGATGAAACCATTGCCCGTGCAAGTAAATGAATCAGAATATGCAGACGAGAGAAAATATGAATCAGAATAATAATCATTCTAAAAAGACAAATACAATGAAGACTGAGATGCAAAGAAAAGACGAAGAAAAATCAAATTAAAGAAAAATTTGGGGAGACATATAGACGATGATGAAGAAAAGAATGAGGGATAAAAAGATTGAAAGATATGTAAGAGAAAGAAGAAGTCAAAGAAGAAGTAGAAGTCAAAGATGATGAAGAAGAAGAAACTCCGAAAGATGAATAATAGGAAGAAGAGAAAAATGAATTCGATGGAAAAGAGGAAGAAGAAAAATTCAAAGAGAAAGAAGAAAAATGCATTGAAATGGGATAAAGAAGAAGAATATGAGTAAAACCCAGAAAAAGAAGAAAAAAGTCGGGGGAAGAATTGATCAAACACAATGAAAAACAATAAGGAAAATACGAAGAAGAAAAAACTGAAAGATAAAGAATATCAAGAAGAATTGAACAAAGAAGAAGACAAATCAGATGAGAAAAAGAGAAAGAAGAAGTAGAAATAAAAGACGATGAAGAAGAGAAAGAAAAGATGAGAAATAAGAAAACCGAAAAATAAATAAGAGGAAGAAGAAGAAAAGGCAAAGACGATAAAAAATACATTTTTTATACATAATTATTCTTATTGTTTATACATATTGATTTAACTGGTCATTGATTTTTGTTGTCTTACAGTGCGTATGTGTTTCCTCTGTTTCCCTGTATATTTTGAACGTGATTATCGTGCCATCTTTACATAGGTGTTAGAGTATTGATACTTACAATCTACCTACATTGATATTAGATGGTTAGAAAACAATGAAGAAGAATAAAGAAAAGACGATAAAGAAAAACAATCAAAAGATAAAGAGCAGGTAAAAGAAGAAAATGAATAACCATTACGATAAAATGAAAAATTTGTGTTTGTCTTAATTTAGTTTTGCTGCACATAATATAAAATTTTGTTTTACAATTTTAAACATTTCGGTGGTCTGCGCAAGGTACGGACAAGACACGTACCTAGTAACATATTAAAATATTAAAATTAGAAATTTTTTACATTGATTACTGATTTAAACCACTAAATCGAATTTTAAAATCATGGATGTCTTGAAAGATCTCTAACTTCAATTTTTATAGTTTTTAAAGTAAAAATTTTTTTCTACTTTATAACTTTAATATCATGTTGGTTTACTATTATTAATAAAAAAATTTATACATAATTTTTTTATTTTTATTTTGGTAATAACTAATTAAATTAGAAAATTTCCTAATTTTAATTAAAATTAGAAATTTTTAAATTCTATGTAATTTTTTATTTATAATAATATTTAATAATTTATGGTAACTTAAAAATAGTATAATGGAATTTGAAGAAAATCTGGTTATATTTGATTTTGGTAATCTTTAGTTTTCTTAGAAGAAGTCAAGTTATTATACTTTTCATCCCTAAAAGGATTATTTTTTCGACAAGATTAATTTTCGGTGAATATGGAGATATTAAAGAAAAAGAATTGTGAGAAACATACAACTTAATATTAAAAACCCAAAAGAACAAAAAATGATTGCCGAAAAAAATATGGTGAGAAAAACATTTTTCTAGGGCATGTCATTGACTTCATTTGAAGAAGAGGAGAGAGAGAGACTGAAAAAAAGAAAAAGTAAGAAAGGGAATGAAATAAATCCGATCGAATACAATTTTGACGTCCGCAAGGACACTATTCTCTCTCTTCATCTCCTTCTTCTCTCTCTAAAAGATTACAGCGAAGAACAGGACACAATACTCTGAGCTAAAAAAGGTATAATTTAATAAACGCAGAAACACAATTTGTAGGCGGCAGAGAATTGTTTTGGTTCTTTTTGTTTTATTTTTCTGGGTTATCTCGAACAAAGAACAAAAAACCCTAGAAGAAGAAGATGAACAACAAGTTTCTAGCTTTCTACTGATTTTCACTTTTCTCTCAAGATTCCTAAGTTATAATCAGAGGATTTAGATAAACTCAAGCTATTTTCTTCGATTCACTTTGATTTGAGCCTTATCGGAGACATATTCTTCAATTCCAGCTCTGGTAAGTATTATTTTCCGATGAAGATTTGTGTTTTCTCTTCATTAGTATCTCTGTTTTTTCTCAATTAGGGTTTGATCGAGCTTCTTCTTCTTCTTCTCTTTTGTTTTGATGGGTTTGTGATTTTGGGTTTTTTTTCTTTTGTTTTGTTAAAGGTGCTGAGTTCGAATGGAGTAGATTTGCTTAATTTGGATCTGAAAATTTCCATTGTATTCAACAGAGATTCGGAGCTCTGCGACTTCCCTTTGGAGACAGTGCTTTGGTCTAGAATGTTCGATACGGAATCTCACCACTCAGATTCAGCTCTTTTCGTGTATTTTACGACTCTGAAGCTTATCATTTGTCAGAGAGAACAAGTTTCATCTTCATTGTGCATTGAAGACATCTTTGCTCCAGCACAGAGCTGAGATTGTAACAAGCCTTAAATCTTCTCTTGTGTCTTTGCTTGTATAATTCTGGGAGTATGGTACCATCAGAACCGCCTAATCCAGTTGGTAGTGGCGAAAGCGTTCCACCTTCTATGTTAGGAGGCCAAGGAGGAGCTCCTCTTCCTTCACAACCAGCATTTCCTTCACTCGTTTCTCCGCGTACTCAGTTCGGTAACAACGTCAGTATGAGTATGCTTGGGAACGCGCCAAACATATCTTCCCTTCTCAACAATCAGTCTTTTGTAAATGGTATTCCCGGGTCAGTGATTTCCATGGATACCGGTGGGGCTGAGTCAGACCCTTTGTCGAATGTCGGGTTTAGTGGTCTGTCGTCTTTTAATGCACCGAGTATGGTATCTCCACGCTCATCAGCTCAAGTTCAGGGTCAGCAATTTACGAACGTTTCGTCTAACCAGTTGTTGGCAGAGCAGCAACGGAATAAGAAAATGGAGCCTCAGAGTTTTCAACACGGTCAGCAGTCAATACAACAGCAGCAGCAGTTTCCGACAGTGCGTGGAGGAGGTGTGGGACCTGTCAAGTTGGAACCTGGTCAGGTTTCAAACGACCAGCAGCACGGTCAAGTACAACAGCCGCAACAGAAGATGTTGAGAAATCTAGGATCGGTGAAGTTGGAACCGCAGCAACTTCAGGCCATGAGAAGCATGGCGCAAGTGAAAATGGAACCTCAACATTCAGAGCAGTCATTGTTTCTCCAACAGCAGCAGCAGCAGAGGCAACAGCAACAACAACAACAACAGCAGCAGCAATTTCTTCAAATGCCGGGGCAATCTCCACAAGCTCAAATGAACATATTTCATCAGCAGAGACTTATGCAATTCCAACAACAGCAATTCCTGAAATCGATGCCTCAACAGCGTCCTCAATTACCACAGCAGTTCCAACAGCAGAGTTTACCTCTGAGGCCACCTCTGAAACCAGTGTATGAACCTGGCATGGGTGCTCAGCGACTTACACAGTATATGTACAGGCAACAACATAGGCCTGAAGTAAAGCTTCTTACCATATATTAGTGAATTTTTTTTTTCAGCTTAGTGCTTTTCTTCATGATTGACAGTTATTCCTGTTATTAAATACAGGACAATAACATCGAGTTCTGGAGAAAATTCGTAGCTGAGTACTTTGCTCCGAATGCGAAGAAGAGATGGTGCGTTTCTATGTATGGCAGTGGCCGGCAAACAACTGGCGTTTTTCCTCAGGTTTACTGCTCAACTTGCTCTTGTTTGTAATACGATTGTAAACGAGATTGTCTTTCTCATCTAGTCTCATTTTCTTTTGCTAATCTGATCTCGTGCAAGCAAGGCAGTTTTGAATAAACTTGGTACTTGTTTCATGTTATACCTCTTTACATGGGTATATTTATTCACAAACATTGCAGGATGTGTGGCACTGTGAGATATGTAATCGAAAGCCTGGACGTGGATTTGGTATGTTATTTACATGATCACTGCTTGTGCATTTTTTTCTGTAGTTCGTAGAGAACATTCCTTCTTTACTCATATTTTGTCTGCTTTGCGTCTTTCATTGTTTAGAGGCAACCGCCGAAGTCCTCCCGCGGCTATTTAAGATAAAGTATGAGAGTGGCACTTTGGAAGAGCTTTTATATGTCGATATGCCAAGGGAATCTCAGAATTCATCTGGTCAAATTGTCCTGGAGTACGCAAAAGCAACACAAGAGAGTGTATTTGAGCATCTTCGAGTTGTTCGTGATGGCCAACTTCGAATAGTGTTCTCTCCAGATCTTAAGGTTCTTCAAACTTCTCTCTTGGCAAACTACTATACCATTATATTCCTGTCCAAGCCATTTCATTCTTGTATGTTCCTTCTCAGATATTCTCTTGGGAATTTTGTGCTCGGCGGCATGAAGAGCTTATTCCACGAAGGCTTTTGATACCACAGGTAAGTTCTACAAAGATTATCTATTTTTCTTTCTGTTTCCGTAGTTGAATCTACATCTTATGGGTTTATGTTTTTAACAAAACTGATAATATGTTATGATAGGAAGTTATTCCTAAGACAGATAGTTTTTTTTATTTCTGTATTTGCTTTCTTTTTTTCAGTAACTAAAATCATCACTTTACCTTTCCTTTTTCATGGTTTCTAATTTGGATAATTATCTATATTTGTACTTCATGTACAGGTTAGTCAGCTTGGATCAGCAGCTCAGAAATATCAACAAGCCGCTCAAAATGCAACAACAGATTCTGCTCTTCCGGAGTTACAAAATAATTGCAACATGTAAACTTCCTCTCTTATGTTGTTAGATTGCACGAAATATTGCTATTTAACTGTCTACTGGTGATCTCTAATGTGCTGTCACTGTTCTGCAGGTTTGTTGCATCTGCTAGACAGTTGGCAAAGGCCTTGGAAGTACCACTCGTGAATGATTTGGGATACACAAAGAGATATGTTCGGTGTTTGCAGGTATATGCATAATTTCTCGATATGTATCAAGTGTTCATTGCAACTCTGCAATCTTGCATTGCATAAAACTTTTAGATATTTGTATTTAATGGAAGTTCAACTTTGAAAGGGATATAATGAGATCATTTGAAGTACCCTGTCCCAGTATGCTCACTGATCTTTTGCAATATTGTAGATCTCAGAGGTGGTAAATAGTATGAAGGACTTGATAGATTATAGCAGAGAAACAAGAACAGGACCAATCGGTAAGTCAATACGACCTTTTATTCCGCATTTTCCTTACTAATTAAAGTAAATGTGTTTTTGTTCTGTATTTTTTACCGGTCTTCTCGTAACAGCTGAGTTTGTTTTTATAACATTGGACTGATAGATATCTCGTGTCAATCTTTACAGAGAGTTTAGCCAAGTTTCCTCGGAGAACAGGCCCTTCAACTGCACTGCCTGGTCCTTCTCCTCAGCAACCAAGTGAACAGCTTAGGCAGCAGCAGCAGCAGCAGCAGCAGCAGCAAGCAGTTGCCCAAATTGGAAACAACGATCAGAGTTCTGGTCAAAGTTCAGTAAACTATGCCTTCAATACAGGTTCTGCATCAACCTCCACAAGCAGCATCGCTGGCCTCATCCACCAGAATTCAATGAAGCAAAGGCATCATCAGAATGCTGCTTACAATCCTCCAAACAGTCCCTATGGTGGGAACACTGTTCAGATGGCATCACCTAGTTCCTCGGGTACCATGGCGCCATCATCCCAGCAACAACAACAACACAACCTGCCATCATTTCAATCTCCGACTTCCTCATCTAACAACAATAACCCCTCTCAAAACGGGATAACAAACTCACCAGCGATTCAGCAGACTGCGGCTGAGGCTGAAGCGAACGAGTCAAGCTCGGTGCAGAAGATACTGAATGAAATCCTGATGAATAACCAAGCTCATAATAGCTCAGGAGGAGGAGGAAGCATGGTTGGTTCTTTTGGTAACGATGGGAAGGCAGTTAGTAATGTAAATAGCTCTGGTGTTCTGATGATGAATGGTCAAGTGAACAACAACAACAACAGCAACCCAAGTATTGGAGGTGCTGGTGGGTTTGGTGGTGGGATGGGTCAGTCGATGAATATTAACGGGAACAATGGTCTGATGAACGGAAGAGTTGGGATGATGGTGCGTGATCCAAACGTGCAACAGGATCTAGGAAGCCAACTCTTAGGAGCAGTCAATGGTTTCAACAATTTTCAGTGTGATTGGAACGGGTGAGAGATGGTGATGAAGAAGAAAGGGTAATGAATGTTCTCTGCTTGGGAAGCATCACAAAAATCTGAGGATTAAGGATTTGGGCCTTAAGCCGCGATGAGATACTGTGCTTAAAGAAAGGGAAGAGTTTAAAAAATCTTTGTACAATAACTGGTTTCTAGGGTCACCTTCATCCACAATCACAAATACCATCTCTTGAGTTTGCTGTTTCCTCTTTCTTTTTTTTTTTTCTTAATCTTGGGGAGTTTTTCTTATGCTTTTTTTTTTTTATAGTTTATAATGTACATCTTTCGATGGGTGTTACATCATCAGGGAGGCAATGAATCAGGCTGTATCCTTCATTTTATCTTTTCTCTGATGTGTTAACGAAAACTTTCATAAATTCTGACAACGTTAAATCCAAAATGTCTCAACTCTCAAACTATTTGAAAATAATCCTGATTTTGTACTCTCATTAGCCCTTCAAAGAGTGCGTAGTTAGGCCTCCACATTCTGGTTCGGGTTTGGTACTTTCGCGTATCGGAATATAGACATTTAGTAACCATTTAGAAACTAAAAAAGTCGGTTAAGATTGGTTCGTTAACTTCAGGTTTGGTCGCTATGAATATTTTATGTTAGAACTGAACTATAACCAAAAAATTCAGTTTCGGTTCGGGTTGGTTACTTTTTTACCCAAAAGAATCGAACCGAATTCTAAACACAATATAATATTTTATGGACTAAAGTAAAGGGTTTTGTTTACTGCGTACTAAAATAATCCTGATTTTGTTTACTGTAACCAAAATTCATTCCTGATCAACTTGACAAGTTTCTGTAATTCATACTCACATATGACTACAAGATTCAGCACTAACATTAACCTGGCCCCAAAAAAGGTACTAAAAGTGAAATCTGTAGTTTCAGAAAGAGTAGTCTTTCAAGTCTGCTTTAGAGTCGTCCATATCAATCTCAGCCAAGCACTCATCAGCAGTAAGGGGAGGGAGTTTACGAGTCTTACGGTTCAGGTTGTGTTTGTGCCAATCACTCTTGCAATGCTCTCTGTATTGCTTAGCTTCTCCAACAAAAGTGTTGCAAGTGCTGCACTTGGTCCCTTTTCCTTCTCCTCCTTCTTGCTTTGTGTTGTTACCAGTCCCGATCTCTTGCTTCTGCATTTTTTTGATAAGCTCCACGACAGGATCGGTCTCAGTCTCAACAGGTAACAATGGCTTGTTCCTCTGCAACGCCATATCATCATGCTCATCGTAATGATCCATGCTTGTGTCACCTTCCGCATGAACTGATACAGCGAGTATCTCTAATCTCCCCTGCATACTCCTCACAAGGGAATCACACTCTCGGAAAAGTCCTGGTTCCATCTCGCAGACCTGCACAAGAATGTATCACCACAATCAGAGAGAAAAAGAGAGAAATTCTAAAGAAGGTTAACATTCTTAAAGCTGTAGAATCATTACAGTGGACATCTGAGTTCCAGATTCGTCTTTGGAAACAACACAACCGTCCCATTCTTTTAGCTTCTCAAGAAGCGAGGGGAAGTTCTGAACAGGAACAGTGAGACGAAGTCTCATTGGAGAACGTTTTATCGGGAAATGCTTCTGCAGCTCACGGATGACATCAAGGGCCTGCACAGTTTTTAACAATCAAAATGAAGCTCTTCAAAGAAAGCTTACAAGTCACTGTGCTTCAACATTAAACATACACCACTCACCTGCTTCTTGGAATTGCTATGAGGATCCACAGCGAAATGGATTTCATGCATTAAACGCTCTACCATGCTGATAGTATAAGGCCGTTGGGTTTCAGGGTTGATGGTTTTCTGCATAACAATCGTTGCAATATCCCGAAACTGGCTTGACAACTGTGATTCTCTCTCTTTTCCAGCAACTTGAAGCTCTCCTTTATCCAGAATCTATTTGAAAAAGACGCAAGAAGCAACATATAAGACAAGGCTTTAAGGAGACAGAACTTCGAAATCTAAGAAACCAATTAAGTTTTGATGCAGATAAAACAATGAAGAAAAAAGACAGTAAACAGACCTCCAAGCATATTTGCGTATGATCATCTGATCCAAAGGCCAGCATCAAGTCTTTTGATTTTGCAAGAACTCCTTTCGAAACATTTGAATACACAGTATGTGATTGCAACACTTCATCTATGTCCTTCTCCCTGCGTAAACATTTCGGCTCTCATATAATTATTTCTCTACATTTAAAGCCTATATTTAGAGAGAGATTCGATGGATAGCTACATAAATTTCTTCATAAAAGCTAGTGAAAGTACACAAAATCTTATGGAGAATCAAAACCATCTCGAAGACCTAAAACGGAAATTCTGGGCGCTAATACTCGTTTCCCTTCAAATTACGCAAGATGTCATCAATTTTAACACCATCTTTACACCAAATTCATCAATACTATCAACTAATACTCAAGACCAGTCACGAACGGTTTGTTAATAAACGCAAATATATAACTGAGTAACTACACAAGTTTCTTCATAGAAGCTAGTGAAATTACACAGAATCATAACCATCTCGAAGACTTTGAAAATCGGAAACCTAAAAAGGAAAATTTGACGCTAATACTAAGCAAACACGTGATCGATTTTAACAGCATCTTCACACCAAATTTGTGATTACTATCAATTGATAAAACAATCAAATCGGGCTTAAGGCCTCCGCATCAGAATCGAAATTGCTAAATCGAATATTGATGATTCGATTATAAGTCGACGAAGAAAAAGCTATGGATTGAAAAGCGAGAATAAGTGGTGAGAGAAGCTTACACGCCGGACCGCCATGAAAGGACCTTATTCTTGTAGCAAGCGATCTCGAAGCGGTTCCCTTTCTTTTTCAGTCGAACCACCGCGACGTTCGTCAGCCTCTTCTGGCCTACCGGCTGCACTAGGGTCTTCGACATTTCTTTCTTTGTTTCTTTCTCCTAAGTTCTGGAGGAAATTGGGTGTTTTGCTCTCGCCGTAATGAGGTTTTGTTGAAAATTGCGAAGATAGGTCTCACGATTTTTAACTTCGACTATTATATACTATTTTTTCTTTTTTTTTTGGTCAGCAATTTCATTGTAATCATTTCAAGAAAGAACCAATGAACCATGGTAGAATACATGAGAGATAGGAACTTTTAAAGATGTATGGACTAATTGTGGAACTATTATCCGACATCTCACATCCCATCCAAGCTCTGCTCCAATTCGTCCATAGTAAAATTTCAAAACAAAGCCTAGCCCAATAACCATATCCACACAAAAGTATGGAGCCCGTGCCTCATGTCTTGTGAGTTAGGCATTAGCCTAAGGCCACCAAAAATTAAAAAAAAATTAGGGCCACAATTTTATTAAATAGTTCATATATATAGTTAATGAGGTAAATATTTTTGGATTATTTCTTTGAGATAAGCTCATATACTGTACTAGTATTATTATTATTGATATTTATTTTTATGGATATTCATAAATAACAAAGGAAAGTAAAAAAGAAAAATTTAATTAAAAACTTGAAACACGCATAATTAAAAAAAAAATCCCACATCGATATCTAAATGAGGAGGTTTATAATTTTTCTTCAATATAAGTAGCAACATCAATTAATTTTTTTTGAGCTTAAAAACTAACTTTTAAACAAAGTTTGGGTTTGACCGGATCTATCGGTTTAACCACCGATTTGCAAATTTTTAATTGTTTTTTTTTTGTTTCTAAAAATTCGATCGAATTGTCAACCAGTTCCAGTTACACTTACATAGCCGTCTGATTTGTGGCTAAAATAAGTCGATTATGTGAATTTGGTAAATAAGTTTCTGGAAAAAAAGAAAAAAAATATGTTTTAGAAATTTTATAGTTTAAGTTGTTATTATTATTATTTTGTGTACGTTTGAGACGATATTTTACACTAATTTTTTTTATAAAGGCCACATTTTTTTAGTTCGCCTAAAGCCACCATAGATCTAAGCACGACGCTGGTATGGAGATCTCAGCTTAAGAAAAGTGTTTTTCTTGTTTTATTTTTCATCTTGACGGTAACACACATCCTTACCACCTCTGGATCATCAACCGCATCTGATGTCGCAATGCCAACTACCTATGGTGCACTGATTGTCACCAAAACAATCTCCCAAAGCTTCTGATTGTCCTTATCCACTATGATCCTTTCCAAGTTCGATTGAAATTTACAACAAATTCCAATAATCATGATCTGTCAGTCAAAAATGACATGTTTAGCCGAATCTTTTAAGCAAATATCTCCACTACTTTTGCGTTTGGTTTGGATAGGGCTTTTTGGGTTTCAGGTAATTATTTAGGAACCATTTAAGAACATCAAAAATCAGTTTGGATCTGTTTGGGTACTTTCCGGTTGGATTTGGTATTGATAGATAATGTCAAAACCAGTTTAGAATCAAGATTTTTTTGGTTTTAATTCGGGTTGGTTAACTTGTACCCATACTACCCAAAAAAAATCTCATAATCATAACTTATTCATAAACACATTCTCATATGTCGAAATATGGTTCCAAATCTCCAACAATATGCCAAAGTTGAAAGACAAGAAGATATAGAGAAAGAAAAAAAAGCATTTAAAGGAGAGCAATAGCGAAATCCAAAATTCAAACAAAGAGTAAGAGTAAGATTTAGAGACACAATTGTCATTTGTCACTCTGACATAACGCAACCAAATGATCATGACAACAACTTGAGCTTCTATAGAAGTGCATGTTACAATTAGTAAACCTAAGAAAGAACTATGAACCAATATGAAATATTAGCTAAGAATAGTTGTAACTTTGATAAATCAAATAAGTTTCAATATGTTTCATTTCAAACTTTAATATTGTCAAAGTTCAAATTAATAAACAAAAAAGTTTGAACTTTGAAGAAAAGGAATACCTTATATATATTATATATATATATATATATATATATATATATCATTAGTCAGTAAGAGTTAGAACATGATATATAGCCAACTTCTAAACAGTGTTGAAATCAACTTTGATACGCTAGTGAAGACTTAAAAACATAAATCTAACACTCTAAAGAAGAACTAAAAATAGATTTTAAAGGACATAATTTACCTTTTTTCAAATCTATCTTGTAATTCAATATTGACAAGGTGTTGTTGATTGATATAAACAATTCCTTTTAACTTAAAACTAGGTGTTTGGCCCGCGCAAGTGCATAAGGATTTTAAAAATGTACAACATAATTTGATGTCATAAACTGGTTTTCAAGAGAACTAAAACAACCTTTTAAGAGAATTAAAACAACTTTTTAAGACATACATGATAAAATAAAACAAATCCAAAAAATAAACACTATCCAAAATTAAAGAGTTAAATGCCTTCCAAA